TCCTTCGAGGCGCTGGCCATCTACTTCCCGTGCATGAACTCCTTCGACGACGAGGACGCGGGTGAGCGCGCCGCCCGCCCCCTACCCCCGGGGGGCTGTCCCGGGAACCCGATCCGGAGGCCTCCTGCCCGACCGGGTGCGCCCTTAGAGGTGGCCTCTCTCTCCTCCCCACCCCCATCCCCGCTCGGAGATGCGCCCCAGGGTCTCCTTCCCCACCTACGGCATCCCGGGGTCTCTAGGAGGCGGTGTCTTCTAGCCTCCCGCCACCCCCCAGGGACCCCGAGATCCTCTGCATTCACCCCTTTCCAGCAGGTGGGCCCTTTGAGTCGAGTCGACCCAGCTCTCTCTACTCGCCTGCGCCTACTGGATGCCCCCTGTCTTGCCCCTGGCTCGGACCTGCCACCCTCCCTGAGCCTTTCGTTTGTGCCCACTCCTCAAACCCCGGGACTTTGCCCGCCTCACCCCTGGGGCTCCGACGCGCCCCCTGCCATTGGAGGTGGCGCGCAGACCTTACCTCTCCATCTTTGTCTTGGATGCATCCAGAGGTTCCCTGCCCTAGACCCCTTGCCCTGTGTCTCCGGACTGCTGGTTTTTATCAGACTGGAGCAGACCCTGGGGGAGGAGTGGGGGACCGGCCGAGTGACGGCCTGTCCTCTCCTTTCTCAGCCGCTGGTCCTGGTGGGGGGGGAGGCGTAGGGCGGCGCCAACTATACACCTGCGCGCCCTCGGGAGTGTGCCCCTGACCCCCGGGGGCTTTTGGCCCTGGAATAGCCCTTCTGGGTGGGCTGAGCCCGGCCACCCTCCAGCGACCCGAACCTCTGGCTCTCTGGCCTGCGCGCAACCTCAGCCAGAGCCCGAGCGGCGGGAAAATGTCGGGAAACCTGGTCTTTGGGGCCCTGGGACCAGGCAGAGGAAACAGGAGGGCTCCAGATCAGGTTGTGCCCTGAGGATGAGAATCCACCAACAGGTCGGGTAGCTAGAGGGCCTGGGTGAGAGTTCCCCAAAGAGTTCCAGTTTAAGAGTCACAATCAGGTTCCAGTCTTGCGTTTCTACTTATTAGCTGTGACCTTGGGCATATCGTTGGATATCCTCATCTGTAAAATGGGATGACAGTGCCTCAGACACGAGGGTGGAGTTAAAAGGATTTTGTAAACTGAAAATCTGAGAGTATTTGAATTCAATCGGGACAAAAGGGGAGAGGGGTGTCTGTGGTGGGGAGGAGCAAAGTGGCTTCATGCACCCTTTTGAGAACCTGATGAAACTATGGACTATCTCTCCAAAAACCAAAACCAAAACAAAACCACACACATATGCCCATCCACAAAATTTTGTCCACAGTTTTTGGGAGTTCATGGGCCCTGCCTGAGACTCCCTGCCTGCAGGGACCCTTGTCTGGTCAACCCATTATCTGATAAGCCAGGATGGAGCCCTGGGTCATGAGTGCTCATGTTAGTGCTGGAACAGGAAGGAGGAAGGATGGGGAAAAGGGGAGGAGAATTTGTTGGCTTAGTGAATGAAGGGGGGGGGGGCGTTTGTGGCAGACCCCTGACAGACCTGTCCTGCTGTTGACCTGGAGATGGAGGTGGGGTAAAGATGGTTACTGCAAAGCCATTGTACAGAAAACAATAACTGAGGCTCAGAGGCTTAACGTCTCCTTTGATGTAGCCGACTGGGGTTGTATTATTATTCTGGACAAGGCAAGGTGAGGAGGAAGGGAGGGGCTCTTTAACACAGTGGCCTCCACTGGAGCAAAATCAGAAAGAAATCAGGCTAGCATGAGGGTTGAGGGAGGGAGCCCAGCCAGCCTAGGTGAGCTGGCTCCCCCACCCCTTACTTGATGGTTGGTGGGCTCTCCTGAAGTTCAACAGACCACTTGGGTCTCAAGAGCCAGGCTGGGCAGGAGCATGGATTTGTAGGAGCATCAGTTAGATTTTTCTCCAAAGTCATGCTCCATGTCATGGGTCAGATGCCTTGATGATTATTGCTGGTTGCGGGCGACTTGCTCTGGTTTCACTTAAGTCAAACTTCATGTAATATTAGAGCTTTTTTTTAAAGTCCCACCTGATGTTTTTTCCAGCGGGTTTCTTCACATTCTTAAGTTTTTCACTTGCAAAAGAGCTAGAAATCATCTTGTCCAACCTCTTCTTAACCTCAAATGGAAGAGAGAGAGAGAGAATTTATGTATGCATGTGAGAGACTGGAGCCCTGGTGTGTGTATATGTGTGACCCAAGGTCACCCAGCGAGGCAGGCACAGAGCCGAGACTAAAATCAGGTTTCCAGCTCTCTTTCCAGTAAACCACTAGCCCTCTCCCTGAAAGAGGATTTTTTTTTTTTAAAGCCAGATCTTCACTGTGTAGAAAATGGTTCCCAGGTGAGGAGGCCCCAGGGAGTGGCTGCCAGCCAAGAGTTTGGTTTGGGCAGCTCGTGCTTACTGTCTGCTCGTCTTAAGGGATGCTTCGAGTTTGGGAGGGGGTAGGAGAAAGTCAAGTTTCGTTTCCGGAGGACTAATGAGCGTCTGGTGAAAATTGGAAGTCAAGAACGTTGTCTTGGAGCTTAATTTCTCTTGTTTTCTTCTCAAAGTCATTATTTTTCTCCTTAAAAAAAAAGTCTTTTGGATTTATTCTTTTAGAACACAACTGCACTGAACTAATTTCTGAAAGCAGTTTGAATAATTGCTCAGACACTGGACAGACTGCTTCGGGGAGGAGGGCTGTCAGAACTGGCTTCTCTCTATCATCCTCTTCTCTGCTCCCTCCCTGGTCTACTTAGTGGCTCAGAAGCCTGTCCCTGAAGGGCCTCTGGCTCATCGAGGTGCCTCCCCTTTTTGCTGCTTCCGACTCCTGTCAAATGCATCTTTTCCATCAACCAGATCGAGCCAGAGCCATCTTCATGGCTTACGTGCCACCCTCCAGCTGGTTCCCGGAGGAACCGTGTGAGAAGGAGACGATTTCATTAGCCTTAAGTGGGCCAGAACACTTTCCTACCTCCGGCTTGGGAGGTTTGGACATTTCGTGTAACCATCGAAAGCATCGATGAAGCTGCCCCTCCCCGCTCTCCCTTTCTAGCCACCCAGGGGCTCAGGATGCTGCTGGTCATTGCGGATTCCTAGAAATCCTCTGAAGGAGCATCTTCCCTTGTGCGCTCAGAACTCTTTTCTTACACTGCCGTTGCCGCTTTTCACCAAGATGCTGGGGTTTTAGAGAGGCCTGCCCTTGGGGACATTTTTGTGTATGTGTCTCCATCACTCAGCCTAGATGGCACTGGGTTTGTAATTGGGGAGG